TTCCGAGATTGCCATTGAACGAATGACCCGATGTCTTGTCTCTTTATTTCAATCTCTAGGCCTTCGCCGGATTCGTGGAACAGAAGTAGCCGGTGTTGCATCTCCCAATTGCTGAGATTACACACGTCGCCTCACCTGGCCTGACCTAATTTCTAAGAAATTTGACATATACAATACTAGCTGACACAGAGATCAGTAGCAGATGGGAGCGCGTGAGAATTTAAAATGTGCCTTTGGCTTTTGAACCCAGTGGGTGGGAGCTAGAAAATCAGAAGTTGTTAGAGGTAGAGGAAGAAGGGTAACTAGGCTGGGAACAAATGTCAGTATCACCAAAGACTAGAGAACTGTGATAGACAGCTTTGAAAAGGGTGGGGAAAAACCAAACCAAACCAAAAAGCCCTTCCTGTAGCAACAGGAAATTTGTGCCACATAGCTCAAGCTGGGAGATTTCCAGGCCAGGTATTGGAAGAATCATTTGGCCTCTGAGAACTGTAAGATGTTGTAGAGGGTCAAATGATTGGGTCTGTAAGCAGACAGCTGGCCGAGGGCAGAAAGGATTAGAAAAGGAAACTTCACTCCAAGTTTCTCCAACTGGCGAAGTGGAAGAGAAAGGCCCGTAGGACCTTGGGTCAAGACTTCAGAAAGCAGCTGTGTGTGGTGGCAAGCCTGTAACTAAGCACTGGGGAAACTGAGGCAGGAGTGCTGCTGCATGTTCGAGGCCATCCTGGGCTAACGGCAGAATGAGTTCTTATCTGGGAAAAAAACAGAGGACTGAATTGAGACACGGCCTGAATTTCAAGTCTTTGGAAGATTACAAAGCTTTCAAGGATGATATCAGTGCAGAAACAGCCAGAAGCTGTGTATGTGTGTGCCCTTCACAGCCGTGTGTGTGTGTGTGTGTGTGTGTGTGTGTGTGTGTGTGTGTGCGCGCGTGCGCGCGCGCCCTTCACAGCCCAGACTGCTGAATCACTTCGTTAGAACAGAGTCAACACTGGTTCTTAGTAGCTTGGGATTGAGGATACATACCAAGCTGCAAGTCTGAAACTTTCCCAGTTACTAAGAGAAAGGAAACCAGGACGGCTCCAGGGCTTTTACTTAGACCCAGGTGGGTTCCAAATCAGAACCTTACTGCACAAACAGAAAGTTGGCCTCCCAGGGAAGAAAGACACAACAGCTAGGTGCCGTTTCCCAGCGTCTCTATCAGAGCCATGTGCTGACGAGCCGTGGGATCTGTACTGGACTATTTGTGAGGCCAGCAGGAGATCAAGGAGCAAACCCTTTGGAGAGACCCTATCCAGCACCCGTGGGGTGGGCTGCGTGGGGTACTGCTGCAAATCTAATGATCCCATGTTCTCTCTGTGAGGGCGCTGCTGACTATCCACTGCCTGTGGACCTTCAGCCGCCAGAGTTCCTACTCCCCTGGGGCACATAGCTGGATGGTGGCATCGAGTGCCTCTGGGGAGCTGCATTGATGACAGAACCTGTCATCAGTGGTCTTCACTGGAGACCTTCTGGTCTCTGGGAGGGAAGTCAGGCTCAGGAACACAAGCCTGCCATGGGCAGACACATTCCTGCTTCCTGCTTTGTCCCTTGGCCTCCGGCAGCCACTGCCAACCTCTTAGGACCTCAAAATCCTCAGAGAAACAAGAGAAGCTCAATTGCTTTCTCTCTGAGGAACCATAAAATCTCAAAATGCTGTACCTGCTGCTTCTTTCTGTACCTCAGAATGAAATGAGAATTTAAATGGGGGAAAATTAGATGTGAAAACAAAACACGTCTAATTTTAAAATTTAGTAAATTGTTATTGGATTATATCAACCGAAAACGATTAAATTGGCTGGGCGTGGTGGCTTATGCTTATGATCCCACCTTTTGGGAGGCTGAGGTAGCAGGGTCCTCTTTGAGTCTGAGGACAACCTGGGCTACAGAGTGGGACTCTGGAAACAAACAAACAAACAAAAAAAAAAACAAAAAGGAAAATAAAATATTACATAGTTTATTCTGAAGCTAGGCTATGTAATATACAGTAAGTAATCCTAGCATTTAGAGTCGAGGCAGGAGGATAACAGCTTCAGTGTAGCTTGAGCAACACAGCAAGGCTGTCCCAATAAGCAGGATAAAATCGCAAGCTGTTCATTGCTTCTGATAGGGATGATCAATTGACAGGCGTCTAATAGAAAGGGGTTAAAGCACCATCGCCACCTAGTGGCCGCTCTTGACTAGGAACATTCTTTGGGAGTTTGACCTCCAGTATCACACAGTAATAGTTAATAGTTCATTTATGACTACTGTAGGAAATACATTCAATAATAAATAGAGCATTGAAGAATGAAACTAATAATCACTGCTTAGTCCCCAAATCTCATTTTATAATTTAGCATATAGCTGGGCATGGTGAAGCATGCGCACTCAAGACTAGCCAGGTCTACATAGTGTGAGTTCCAGGCAAGCCTAGATTCTGTCTCAACCAACCAACCAACCAACCAACCAACCAACCAACCAACCAACCAACCAACTAAAAAACCCAAACAAGGCCAGGCAGTGGAGGCACACATCTTTAATCACAGCACTTGGGAGACAGAGGCAGGTGGATCTCAGTGAGTTCGAGGCCAGCCTGGTCTCCAGAGTAAGTTCCAGGACAGCCAGGTCTGTTACACAGAAAATCCCTGTTTCAAAAAACAAACAAAACCCCCCAAACAAACAAAAAAACCCCAAATAGCAAACAACAAATATCTTAGTGCTCTTCTGCAATAACAATAAAACTCCATTTATTTTAATTTTAATGAATGTAAGACAGTAAGCATAAGACAAGACTATAGTGAGCAAATTAGGTTTCTTTGGATAAGAATTTGTGCTGAAAATCAGAGCAATGGCAACTGGGGCAATTTTATTTCTTTAATAATTTATTGTATGTGTACTGGTATGTTTGCCTGTGTGTCTGTCTGTGTGAGGGTGTTGGGGCCCCTGAAACTGGAGTTACAGGGAGTTGTGAGCTGCCATGTGGGGGCTGGGAAGAATAGTCAGTGCTCTTAACCTCTGAGCCATCTTTCCAGCCCTTGCAACTTTAAATACGACAATTTGAGTGAATATGTTATACAAGTCATTTCTATGTACTTGTCTTGAGAAAACCCCAAATCTTCCAATATAAGTGTGTTCCCCGGAACTGGATTTACAGTTGGGAGCCACCATGTGGGTGCTGGGAATCGAACCTGGGTCCTCTGCAAGAGCAGTAAAAGATCTTAACTGCTGAGCTGTCTCTTTAGCCTCAGAGATTACTCTTTATTGTGGAAGTTTTGAAAAACAGAGGTTCCAAAATTTTGCCTACAGAGACTTATTCTCATAGTAGTTTTATAGTGATGTCTTCCTTCCTTCCTTCCTTCCTTCCTTCCTTCCTTCCTTCCTTCCTTCCTTCCTTCGAGACAGGGTCTATGTAGCCCTGCCAGTCCCAGAACTCATTATGGAGACTAGGCTGGCTTCGAACTCAGATATGTTCCTGCCCCTGTCTCGCAGCACTGGGATTAAAGGTGTGTGCTTCCCAGCCTTTAAAGTGACATCTATTAGTTCACTTACAAATGGGACATATTTGCCCTTTCACCCTCTTTTAAAGAGAATCCATACTCTCCGGTATTTTCTGCAGTTGTATTTAAATGGAAAATCTATAAGAGCATAAGTTTGAAGTAGTAATTAATCAAGACCTGCCGAGTGTAGCAACTCATATTGGAGGGGAGGGGAGGGGGAAGAGTAGGTGAGGTTAGTGGACTCCTAAGCATGCTTTATGCGTGAAGCATGTAGACAAGGCAGTCTTCACAAAGAACCTTCAAACGGCTCAGGTATTGCAATGGCATTAACTGGTAAATTGTCTTGTGTTCTTTAAGCCAAGAAGCTAAAGCTGGAAGCAGGGTTGGCTATGCTCCTTCAGGGCTAAGCATCCTAAAACTCCCACCTCCCCTGTGCTGAGTCAGCCTGGTCTGTGGCTCTGTATGGGAAGAGAAAATCAGAAAGGAACAAACACAAAAAACAAAAATTGCTGTCCTTGAGAACAGCTAGAAAGTGAAGCATTTCCAACAGAAGTTACTAGTATTTGCGCCATGCTATGACAATACCTAGAGTGAAAACAGCCAGAAACTCAGGCACGGGAAAGCTCATCAGTGGAATGAGGGCTGGATTCTTGAATTTCAGTGCTAAGTTCTGGCTTTGCTTTAGGGGCTTCCCGGTTGGTTTCTGCTGGATGACCGTAAGCACCTGACCCAGTGATGTTTCTACCCGCTGTTGCTTGTTTTTGTTTTTGTTTTTTTAACATGGAAGCCTCACCTCTGATCAGGCACTCTAGTTTGTTGCCTCAGAGAGGATTCTTGCTGAGTTCCTGATTTGACACTACCCTTTCTTTGCTCTCTGTTGTTTCTCTGCAAGATGCTGTGAGCACCCGAATTAATGCTGTTTTGTTATTTGTTGCTTCTATTTTCTACTGGCTATTTAATGTCTTATTTTTTGCTCATTGTGGCTACTGTAGATCACTCTCCAGATCTCACAGGTGTCTAGGAAGAAATTCATTTTCTGGAGCAACTTTTCCTTGTAAGGAATGTTTCTTTGAATGTAGGGCTTTGGGTGAAGATCAGGGTATTCAATGTTTATGTAGTATATTTAAGTGAAAAAAAAAAAGAGACACTATTGCAGGAACGTAAAGTATCATAGCCATTATGGAAAACAATATGGAGGTTCCCCCAAAATAAAATACTGTAGGGTCCACTTTGGGATATTTGTTCAAAGATAATTAAATCAGTATGTCAAAGAGATACCTGCATGCATATATATATATATATATGTGTGTACTGAAATCACTATAGTATATAAACATGCATATCAAAACATCACAGTGTAGCATACATATAATTTTGTCAATTAAACCTTAATAAAGCTAGACCAGATCTTACACTGTTCTTAAACTTCCAAACAGATGAAAATTTCCATTATAAATAAGAACATGATGTGCAAAGTTCACATTTGGAAGAAACCCTAAAAGGGGCTGTTATTTCCGGCGAAAACTCAAGAGTTTGAGATAATACTACTTTTCTACGTTTTTTAGGAACATAAAGGAAAACACGCCAATTTTGTCGTTGCTGTTCATTTCTTGCATTTGAAGTACTCTTCAATGACATCTTTAGCCTGAGATTCTTCGCCATAGTTCTTAACCACCACACAACTGCAGCCTATCACTTTCCGGGGCTTTCCCTTTCGATCAGTTTTGCAGAGGCCTACCCATTCCCCGAGTTTCTTGTTGTCATCAACCTTAATCAGGTTGATTTGGTGCTCAGCACAAAGGGATTCCACCAACTTGATGTACATAGGTTTATCACAGTTGGATGCAAGCACGCAAAGATGAGCTTGGCGCTTGCCTAAGGCTTTGGCAGCTTCGTGAATTCCTCGAGCCAGGCCATCGTGGACGAGGGCCGTCTTCAGCACCTCTTCCAAAGCAGCGTTGACGTCCATTTCAGCTCCGGTGGCAGTGCCTTCCTTGGCCATGGCTGTGGGTTACCGGTGGATCCGATCTGGATCTGGCACTCGCGCGAGCCTCTGAGCAGGAGCGCAGAGGCAGGGAGCGTTTCTAGAATTTTAGGGACCTTTTCAAGACCACTCAGCAACGATCGGAAACTAAGTTCCAACCTCAGTCGCAGGAGCTAACAAATTCCCAGTCCTGCGGAGGCGGAAAGGTGGTCAGATGGCCACCCAGAGGACAAAAATTAGAGGACACCTCAGGTACGAGGCTACTCCGCGTGACAGGTGGCTCGCAGTGAGTACGGGTGGCTCGCAGTGAGCGTGGGTGAGCTTTCCCCTTATTGTTACGTAGTCGTGGCTGCTGCTGCGGGAAGGCATCTGGGGAAAAGTGGACCGCCTCCGTAGACCGCCCCAGGACCTGCAACCACTGCGATGCTGCAACCCGCGCCGGCATCCCGTGCCCTCGCTTCATCGAGCTCTCACTCTTATTTTGCGTTCGCCGATTCGCCACTACTTGGTGTCAGCATTTAACAAGGAAAAAAAAAAACTCGAACTCGAATTCTAATATGTGAGAAGGCTTTCCTGTTCGGAAAAGTGGAGTCCGGAGACAATTTTTGTTCTCTAATTTTTTTTTTGTTGTCGTCGTCATCGTTGTGGCGTCCGCTTCAGCGGGACTCAGAACGCCGGGGCTGTGCGTCGAAAGCGCCGACGCGGACGCCCAGTCCGCCGTGCCGGGCGCGCAGTCGCAGTGGCTGCAGCTCCCGCCCCCGCCCCCGCCGGGTGGACGACGTGGAAGTTGCTGGCGGAGCGGGCTCGGCGGAGCCGGAGGCCGGGAGCGGCGGAGGTGGCGGCGCCCAGGCGCATCTAGGAGTCGCTGCCGAGTCCCGGCCCGAGTGTGAGGATCGGCGAGGCGGCGGTCATCATGGGTGAGCAGGCGGCGGCGGCGGGGCGGGCGCGGCGGGGGCGGCCGCCTGCGCTCGCCCCTGGCCCCGGCCTCCTGCCCGCCTCGGTCGGGCGCCGGGGCCGCTGCGCTGCGCTGCTCCCGGCGGAGCCGCTCGCCCGCTGTGACTGTTGGCGGCCGGAGTTGAGGAAGGTGCAATGCCCATAGGGGGCTACGGGCGGCCCGGCGCCACCCGCAGGCTTGCGGTTCCCCCGCGCAGCGCACCCTACGGCGACGCCCGCGCCACCGCTGCACCCTCCAGGGTCGCTTGCTTTCGGTCCCTGCGCGGTTTCCTCAGACGTGATCCCGAGCATCCCAGTTGCGTTCGGCTCTCCGTAGCCCCGCAGCGTCCTCTTCCCGCCTGCCTCCCTTCTACGTGTCAAGGGTCACACCCGCGCCTTGCCAGGATTCAGTGCACGGCGTGACAGACGTCTCCCTTCTTCCTGCTTGCTTCCCGTCTTCTGCCCTCCCTCTCCCTCTCCTTTTCCCTCCCCACCCTCCTCTCTGTCTGTGTGTGCGCGCGCGCGTGCTCGTACGAAGGCGATGGCTGAAGTCAGCCTTGAGCTTGCTAGCCAACACCCTGCTGCTGAGCTGCAGTTCCAGCCCTTTTAAAACTTCGAGACAGGATCTCACTAAGTTGCCTAGCCTATAACTCAGCTCATTCTGTAGCCAGAGTTGGCTCCAGACTCACAGTGCTCTTGTTTTAAGCCTCCTCGAGTAGCTTGGACCACTAGCCAAAAGGCCTTGCCTTTTACTTTTGAAACTGAATGTAGCCGGGCGTCGGTGGCTCACGCCTTTTATCCCAGAACTCAGATGCAGAGGCAGGTGGATCTCTGTGAGTTCGAGGCCAGACTGGGCTACAGAGTGAAACCCTGTCTCAAAAAATACTTCCCCCAAATAATAATAAAATTACTTTTCTATAATAGCTGCTATTGGAAACACAGGTCAGCAATGAAATACCTGTGATTTCTGTCTTGTTTGGCCGTCACAGAGAGCATGGAAGGTTCTGGTGTTGCCTCTGTGAGGTGATTGCTCTTTTCTCGAAGGGCTCCTTTGTGCCACTGCCTCTCTGACAGGTGCCTTGCTCTTTAGGGGGAAGCAGGGGACTGCTAAATTGCCATGCCCATGCAAGATTGGAAAGTAAACTGGACCTTTGAGGGCAGTGTCTGCATGCCTGATATTTAGTGTATCTTCTGCTGCCTGACAGTACTAGGATCTAGGGACATTGTTTATTACTTGTTTGCTGTTGAATAATATATCTCATTGGAAACAAAAGTATCTACCAGTGCATACAGCAATTTTGCTATTTGATTAGGCATATAGCTTTCAAAAGACAAGGTTAAATGTTTTATGGACCTAATTTCAAAGATGACATTAAATTCATTTATTATCTTTATTATCTTGTAGGTGGCTTTTTCTCAAGTATTTTTTCCAGTCTCTTTGGAACCAGGGAAATGAGGATTTTAATTTTGGGATTAGATGGTGCTGGGAAAACGACAATTTTATACAGATTACAGGTTGGAGAAGTTGTTACTACTATTCCCAGTAAGTATTGGTTTGAGTGTAGAACTTTTCTGGTTTCCATCTAATATATAACTTTCTGAGTAAACTGGTAAGTTGGTAGGGGTTTGTAAATGTCTAGTATGGAATTGATATTCACAATACTATTTTAAAAAATAAACTAAGAAGCATCTGATGCACTTTAAGGTTCCTTACCCAGCAAACAGATGTCTGTTTAGAGCTTAAGTCATTAAATCTTCATGCATGAAGAAACTAAATATATACTGGCTTTGAGGAGTAAATAAATGAAGTGTACAAAGCACTTTGCTAACTGTGTAATGAAGTATATAGATGTTAAGTTGGTATTGTTGCACATGAAGTACATTTTTATGCGTTTTTTATTACTTGAATCACAGTTTAGTTTCTCCTAACTAATTCTGTAGATCACTTTAAAAGATGGGAATTATAGAGGTTGATGTTGAAATGACTGGGTTACCTCAACACTAAGAAGAAACACCCGAACTTTAACTCAACTCATAGCTTTATTATTCTTGCTGTCTGAGAAAATTATTTGCAAATAGTCCTGTTTTACTATATGCAGATGATCTTGATGTTTCCATTTTTTCATTTGTGTAACCACATTTATAGAGAGAAGAGTAATTGAAGAATCCATATAATTTGTTCAACATTTTAAACTGTAATATAATTTGTTCAACATTTTAAACTGTATTTTGAATTACTCTGTCCGGACACTCCCATTTTGTCACTAAACCTTCCAGGATTTGTTTGTTTTGCTTTTATGGAAGAACGTTTGGGTTCTGTAGTGTCTGTGATTTCTTTTGTAGTTTTCTGCCCATTTCATTTCCTTTGAGTCTCACTTCTCAGAGTCTCTCCTCTCAGTCTGGGTAGCTTTTGGTGACCTCTGCAAGACTCAGTGCAGCACCGTGGGTGGGCCGAAGTGTGGGTGAGGGGTGCTTTCAACCCGGCCCTTTGCTCAGAAACAGCGCTCTTGCTGGTGATGAGCACAGAGCTCCATTTGTCTAGTTCTGAGGGAGACAGGGACTTCCTTTGTAGTTTCCCACATTTGCTGTGGTTTTAGTTTTCTTTCTTTTTTTTTTTTTTTTTTTTTTTTTTTTTGGTTTTTTTGAGACAGGGTTTCTTTGTATTGCTTTGGAGCCTGTTCTGAAACTAGCTCTGTAGACCAGGCTGGTCTTGAACTCACAGAGATTTGCCTGCCTCTGTCTCCCTCCTGAGTACTGGGATTAAAGGTGTGTGCCACCAATGCCCAGCCATGGTTTTATTTTTCAGTTGTAATGTGCATTGTTGCCTGCCAAATACATCATTTACCAACACAACTGTAAATAGGAAACAAAAGTCAGTAGTAACTAAGTCACTTTTCACTGACTTTTTTTAAGCTTAGGAAATGTAAACAAACTTTGTACATATCTACATATCCACCCTAAGTGTTTTCAGTGTTACTTTCTCCCTCATTTGGACTCGTTCCTTTGAAAGTAGTTTGTGGTCTCAGTTGTGTGGTGCCAGAGCTAGACCTAGGAAGGGTGGTGGACAAAAGGGGTGGGATGTTTACCATCCAGCTGTGACCTTGTTGCAAGCGAGCTTTTGACGTGACTGCAGACAACGTGGCTCTCCTAGTCCTTGCTGTGTCCTTGTTGGCTTTTAGAGCCCAGTCTTTCGTGATGACTTTAGTTTTTACTGCCCACCAGAACTTCAGCTTTTCTATCTCTAATTGTGCTTTTCAGATGAAACTTTCTGAACATGCTGGTGGAGGTGGTATACATCTTTAATCCCAGTACTCGGGCAGAGGTAGATGGAGCTCTGTGAGTTCGAGGCCAGCCTGGTTTAAAGAGTGAGTTTGAGGTTAGCCAGAGCTGTTGCACAGTGAAACCCTATCAAGAACCAAACTAAAAAACAAAAACCTTTCTGACTACTTATATGCTAGTACTCAGGAGAGTTGAATAGACTTCTAAGAAACGGGAGAATGCTCAGTAGGTAAATTGTTATGAGTTTGAGTTCAGTCCCTAGAGCTTATGTAAGAACAGACTGGATGTGGTGGTGCCCAGTTATGATCCCAGCAGTGGAGAGGCAGACTGGTACATGCTCAGTGAGACACTGTCTCCAAAAAAAAAAAAAAAAAAAAAAAAAAAAGATGGGCAATGACTGAGGAATGACAGTGTTGTCCTTGTGCTCTTGACACACACACACACATACACACACACACACACACACACACACACACACACACACACGTGCCAGCATTGTGTTTAATAACATGAACAGAGTGGTCAGGAGATATTTTGATCTTGTTGATTTGTGTGTGTCATCGTATATTGTCTTAAATGTTAAAATAATTCAGCCTGTGATGTGATTGAAAGTGAGAGCAGTTGCTGGACACGCTGTAAGACAGGGTGGATCAGTCTACATGGACTATTGATTTGAGTTTCTCTTTCAGCTATTGGATTTAATGTGGAGACGGTAACATACAAAAACCTCAAATTCCAAGTTTGGGACTTGGGAGGACAGACAAGTATCAGGTACGTGTGGACACCAGGTCAGTTGGTGATGTTGGACATTTACTGGTTCTTTGTAGTGCTGAC